TTTTACGATATCGCAGGCAATTATCGTGTTAGGTGTGCAGTTTATACGATATCGCAGGCAAACATCATGTTAAGGTGTGTAGTCTTTACGATATCGCAGGCAAACATCGTGTTAAGGTGTGCAGTTTTACGATATCGCATGCAAACACCATGTTAAGGTATACAGTTTTACGATATCAAATGCAAACATCATGTTAAGGTGTGCAGTTATTACGATATCAAATGCAAACATCATGTTAAGGTGTGCAGTTTTGATGGTATCGCAGGCAAACATCATGTTAAGGTATACAGTTTTACGATATCGCATGCAAACATCATGTTAAGGTGTGTAGTCTTTACGATATCGCAGACAAACATCGTGTTAAGGTGTGCAGTTATTACGATATCAAATGCAAACATCATGTTAAGTTGTGCAGTTATTACGATATCAAATGCAAACATCATGTTAAGGTGTGTAGTCTTTACAATATCGCATGCAAACATCATGTTAAGGTGTGCAGTCTTTACAATATCGCATGCAAACATCATGTTAAGGTATACAGTTTTACGATATTGCATGCAAACATCATGTTAAGGTGTGCAGTTATTACGATATCAAATGCAAACATCATGTTAAGGTATACAGTTTTACGATATCGCATGCAAACATCATGTTAAGGTTTACAGTTTTATGATATCGCATGCAAACATCATGTTAAGGTGTGCAGCCTTTACAATATCGCATGCAAACACCATGTTAAGGGATACAGTTTTACGATATCGCATGCAAATATCATGTTAAGGTGTGCAGTCTTTATGATATCGCAGGCAAACATCGTGTTAAGGTGTGCAGTTTTTACGATATCGCAGGCAAACATCGTGTTAAGATGTGCAGTCTTTACGATATCACAGGCAAACATCGTGTTAAGATGTGCAGTCTTTAAGATGTAAACATTAAGGTGTGATCAGGTTATATTGTGTTTTAGTTGAAGCTAACCTTGTGATTTAAAATGTATTAATGCTTGACCAGTAGCCACATGCCTATGCAAATAATAAATATATACAGAGGTATTGGCATAGTAATAATCTATAATGTAAATGAGTTGAATAGTTACTAAACAAATTAATCTATTCACTCAGTGTAATTTGTTACGTATTGTCAACTGATTTGTCACATAGATGTCAGTGATGTGCTATTTCAGCACTATATAATGCTGATGGCATAACTATACAGTGATGTTTAATGTGGCCAATCACACATCTAACCATAAGACATAAGAGAATTTACATAATTTATTATTTGTTCAAAGAGATAAAATTTCATGTGTTATCATTTCTCAATCCTCAGACCAGTAATACAATTTTTTACCAGTCTGAGCTCAATCTAAAAAGTCGGTACACTGCTTTCATGTTCATTTCAACACTTTCTGGACTGCAGTCGTCCACGACACACTTTTTTATTATAATAGGTCAAGAAAGGTCACAATTGGGAGTGAATGTATGGTGTGTATGATCGTGTTGTTAGACCAAAGTTCTTGTTCCTAACAATCGATGTGACATATTTTAAAACAGTGTAAATTCGCTCTCTTAATTCATTGATAATCTTTGTTGAAATTGTATTCGATATGTTTATTTTCGATTACAATAAATAACAACACCTACAACACCTTAGTCTGGCTGACCCGATTAATATTTTAACTTGATGAAAGCATTGTCTGCAATGTTTTTTATGCATTCTATTGATTGATTATTACCTACTACTATATGGATTGAATGTAGTGGTTGAGGATATCAACATGTGATAGAGATTGAATGTAGTGGTTGATGATATCAACATGTGATAGAGATTGAATGTAGTGGTTGGTGATATCAACATGTGATAGAGATTGAATGTAGTGGTTGATAATATCAACGTGAGATAGAGATTGAATGTAGTGGTTGATAATATCAACATGTGATAAAGATTGAATGTAGTGGTTCATGATATCAACAGGTGATAGAGATTGAATGTAGTGGTTGATGAAATCAACATGTGATAGAGATTGAATGTAGTGGTTGATGATATCAACATGTGATATAGATTGAATGTAGTGGTTGATGATACAAACATGTGATAGAGATTGAATGTAGTGGTTGATGATATCAATATTTGATAGAGATTGAATGTAGTGGTTGATGATATCAACATGTGATAGAGATTGAATGTAGTGGTTGATTATATCAACATGTGAAAGAGATTGAATGTAGTGGTTGATGATGATACAAACATGTGATAGAGATTGAATGTAGTGGTTGATGATATCAACATGTGATTGAGATTGAATGTAGTGGTTGATAATATCAACATGTGATAGAGATTGAATGTAGTAGTT